TTTAGAGGTCAAGCCTACCACTACTGCACCATGTAGCACAGGAAGTCCTACAGAGAGAATCAGAGTAGACCCTTAAGTTAGTTATAAGAACACAGTATATTTTTATTAAGTAGTAAATGAAAAGAATCGAGTATAAAGATGCCAATTTGTGCCTAGGGGTGATAATTCTTTACATCTTACACTAAATGCCATGTGCGTGTGTGTGCACACGCGCGCATGTATATATATATATGTGTGTGTGTATATATATATAAATTAAAATTAATTTGGAAACTCCAATTTATATTATTTTAATAAAAGCGGAAAATACAGTATAATTAACAGCTGTGGCCATGTACATTATCATGTCTTATTTTTTTTTTTTCAGAAACAGAGTCTTGTTCTATCACCCAGGCTACAGTGCAGTGGCACCATCATAGCTCACTGCAGCCTTAAATCCTGGGTTTAAGCAATCATCTCACCCTAGCCTTCCAAATAGTTGAGATTACAGGTGTGAGCCACTGTGCTCAGGATCATGTCTCTAAGTTATTTCAGTTATCCATTTCTTGGGAGCCACAAGTTATTACTAAGCTACCTGAACTACTGAGACAATCATCTGAAGGAAACACCTAGGGATGCCCCATGCTTCTCAGTCACCTTTTTATAGAGACTTACCTGCCTTTGCCCCGCAGCTCACCTATCCCCTGCCTTATTGTTGAGTCATGATGGAGGATAATTTCCTGGGTGCTATGCCCTTTCTTTCCTATTGATTGGGGATGCTAAGGTGTCCTTATTTACTACAGCTGAGGCCTGTAATGCTAGGGATTTGCCTTGCACAGTCAACCTAATTCAGTGGTAGCGATCTGTCATACAGGAATTACTGGTTACCTCTCTCATAGTGTTGTGGCTTCTTCAGTCTCCTACTGTTTCATCTTATCAGGTTGCTAACCTTAATTATCTAGGACATAGCAATTATTCTGCTATTATTTTTATGTCTATGTTCCTTCTGCCCAGGTGTCCTACTCTATTTTTCCAGTATTAGATACTCTTTCAAATTCTCCTCTTACTTTTCTATCCTCTGATACTTAACTTTTAAGTCTCTGATATCCCAGCAGGTCAAGCTACACAATGGTTAGAGTCTGGAGCCTAACTGTGGAGGTTTGAACACAATGCCCCACTGTGTACTATCATTTGCCTTTTTCGTTCTCATTTTTTCACAGGTGTACAGTGGGGTTTTCCAGAGGCTGTATGACACATAACATTGCAGCAGATTAGAAGCAAAATCCAAAATCCAGCTGATGTCCATTAGGTCATTAAAAAAAAACCCACTTTTGGGCTGGGTGTGGTGGCTCACACCTGCAATTCCAGTACTTTGGGAGGCCATGGTGGGTGGCTCATGAGGTCAGGAGATTGAGACCATCCTGGTCAACATGGTGAAACCCCGATTCTACTAACATACAAAAAATTATTCGGGCACGTTGGTGTGCCTGATTCCAGCTACTTGGGAGGCTGAGGCAAGGAAATCGCTTGAATCGGGAGGTAGAGATTGCAGTGAGCTGTGATGGTACCACGGCATTCCAGCCTGGCGACAGAGTGAGACTCTGTCTCAAACAAACAAACACCCACTTTTGGCAGGGCGCGGTGGCTCACCCCTGTAATCCCAGCACTCTGGGAGGCCAAGATGTATGGATCTTGAGGTCAGGAGTTCGAGACCACCCTGGCCAACATAGTAAAATTCTGTCTCTATTAAAAATACAAAATTAGCTGGGCCTGGTGGCACGTGTCTTTAATCCGAGCTACTTGGGAGGCTGAGGCAGAAGAACTGCTTAAACCCAGGAGGTGGAGGTTGCAGTGTGCTGAGGTCATGCCACCAAACCCCAACCTGGCAACAGAGTGAGACTCCATTAAAAAACACGAACCAACCCCACTTTTAAGGAAACCAAAGATTTTTCCTTTCTATCCATAAATATCTATTATGTTCAACATATTATGCTCAAGAGTGTAATTTTAAAGAGGTATATAAAGGCAACAACTGTCTTGTTCTTTTTTTAATAATCCAAAAAGCTAGCTCCATTTTTAAGGAACCTAACCCTCTGTTGATTGATTAGTCAATGTTATTGCCAAAGAAAGTTTCATCTCAATTTTGAGATGCCCAAATATCCATCAAGGTTGTTTAAACAGATATTTGGGCAGAAAAATCATCATTCTTTTCTTGTCTTCACTGCTCAGAAAAATTAGAATTTATTTCCCCTCAGTGGAAATAAAAATCTCTTATCTGTAAAAAGCATATTAAAAAAAAAAAAACAAAAAGGCACTGTCTTCAGCCGTATTTAGCCTATTGCTGTCAAGCTGATTTTCTTTCACATGACTTACTCCTTATTACTATCATCTTGAATGCACACTGGCTTCATCTGAGTTTTGATACTGCATGTTTCCTTTCTGTTACCCAAGGTCCCCAAGACTCTTTTTAGCCATCTTTCCATCATGGCCAGGCTAATTTGTTGCTTGGCCTTCTCTTTCGTCTACTATGTTCCTGCAAATACATCGAAAGTGCCTGCTGTGTGGTAAGTTTATGCTCTGAATGTGGCACTAGGGATCCTGTATGAGTGGAAGTGGCAGTAACTTGGGCAACCTTCCACCCAATCTTTCTCTTCACTTAAAAATCGTTGGTAAACTTACTGATCCACTACATATGTCTACTTCTCTCCCAGCTGGGATTTGATCTGTCAAATTCTCTATTTTCTCAGGTTTGTAAATTTAATGAGATACCCAGTTCAAGAACCATCTTCTCCAGATCTAACTTCTAATCTATAGTAAATACAGAAGACAGAGGAACTCATCACATGACGTCTAGAGGAAACAGCCAAGAGAAAATTCAGAAGGTAAAAACATTCTGTGGAACAATTAACCTATCTCTTCAATAAGTCATTGCCAATAAAATGATTGTGCCAGATTAAAAGAAACTTGAAGGAGAAAATATCCAGGTGCAATGTGATTCTCTGAATTGGGCTGCTAGACTTGACAGAACAGCTGTAAAGAACATGTTTAGATCACTTGGAGATATCTGAATATTAGATTAGAAATCTGGGTATTAGACAAGACTTAAATTTAAAATGGAAAAGTAGAGATGAATGACTAAGAAGGGCAGATTATAAAGTAGTATGTTGAGTTCTTGATTAAAAATTATATATTTATGTATTTTTAGAAAATGATCTGAAAAAATATGAGAAAGTGTTAGCAGCAGTGATATCTGGGTGGTGGGAATGTGATGTTTTAATTTGTTTTTACATTTTTGTCTGACCATATTTTCTAATTTTCTATAATGCCTGTATACGGCTGTAATAATAAAATGTTATTTTAAAAATGACTCACTTTCTCCAAGATGACTTATCCAAGAAATTTCACACCCACTGATCATGCCCTGATTCTAGAAGTCCAGCACATCCTACTGACAGTTTATGCCAAACTATTGCACTTGATTCAAGTTCTCTGGTGGTTCATGTCTGGGGCCCTGTCCCTATTCTTTGACTTATTTTGTAGTCCCAAATCATGCTTGGCAGAATATTTTTTACTTTAGTGAGTGTAACTCCTATATAATTAGTAGCTACCTGCTGTCCAGCATTGCTGACAATATAAATACAAAGAAGGAAGGTGAAATTTTTATATTCTTACTAGAATATGACTTAGTATTACACAAATTTGTATACACATAGGTGACGTATTTTACCCAAAGTGACAGCCACACTATTAAAAGTCCTATTCAATATGACAGTTTATATACCTGTTCATCCTATTCTCTAATATGACTAGGCTAATATTATTAGTTATATTAATTCATATAACTTCAATATATAATTAAAAATTTTTAAAACCCTTGCTAATTATGGAAAACAATACTGGCTCTGTAAGAAATCCCAAAAAGTATATATGTCTTTATTTTCATTTGATGTAATTTTGAAAGCGTTCTACTTAACACATGTCAAAAATTATGGGTAACGAAAAACTGCAGCTATTGAAATCCAAGGGAGCTATGCAAATAGATGTTTATATCAATGAATCCTTTTAAAAACAGGCTTCACAGAAGAACCTGAAACTCAACAAGAGGTGTCTCTAATTCACAGCACTATCTGGGCAAGAATCAAGTAAGTTTTCAAAAAAGGCACTCAAATGAAACAGTACAGATAATTCATTCCCAGCTTTCCACTTCAGACCCCAAACCTCCATTCCCGTACCAACAGACTAAAAATACTCCTCACCTTCTATGAAAAGACTCATCAATAGAAATTCATTCCCTGAATTATGAGCAGAGAGTTTCTCATTCTCATAAAAAACGAGGTTTGCTTTTACTTTGTCTTTTTTTGCTTTGGGACTGTGTGTTTTCTTAACCTAAGTTGATTTCAGGTTCTCTCCAAATATTACTGTCTCCTTAATTATTTGAGTTGGCTGAAACACTAAGTCCTCTTTTAGACCAGATATATCAAGTTTGAAATGGTCCTCTAAAGTTGGGTTCACATGCTCAGTTTAAGTAAAACCTCATGTTACTCTACAGATGGAGTCAGTTGTTGAGCATGTTTTTACTAAAAGATGAGTTGCTACCAAATAACTTTCTGAAATTAAATTATTTCAATTTATTATATTCTGATATACTCTGATATTCCAACAGTGTTTTGAATTCATAAAGTACTCCGTCACCTCAGGATTTAAAAGGTTGACTCAAACATAAATCCATTAATCTCCTAAACTGCTCTATGAAGTCCAAAGAGCATATTCCAACTCTGCATACATAATACTTCCGAAATGAGCTTATAAATCAGTCATGTTTGCAGCATATGCGCAGAGCATTACAATCCAACTTCTCCCCAACAGAGAAACAAGAGCATTCCATATAGAGGTTGTTTTAAATAGTCTCATGCAAATGTTTTAAGACTGAAACATTATTCTTCTATTCTGTTAAAAAGACGGATTTAAAAAGTAAACAAGCGGCAGATATGAGGTTGTTACAAATTCTGAAAGTGGCTTACCTATTAATGTAACTCAGGGCAACATAGGTTGGCTGCTGTAATTCTTGTTTTTCTAAAACCCGCGGATCTGTATCTGTAATAAAAACACAATTATGATTTTTTAGATTTTGCATCAGAATATATGAGGCTGTCTAACATAACAGAGGCTAAGCAGAGAAAAAGATTAATTTAGTACACCTCTTTGTAAAGAAAACTCAGTCGGCAAAACACAATCATTTGTTCATTCATCCATAAATAACAAGATATTGCATTACTTTTCAAGGGAATTCCAAACATCAACAGTGATAAAATGTCCATCTGTCACACAAACTCTTGCACAATCCCCCTCATAAATATTGGTTTTCACTGCTTACAGTTACAATGTTGGCATGGTTTTCGGTGGTTAATCGGCCTAAGAAAGAAAGTCTCTGTTAATTATGCTCACTTCAATGCTGGAACAAATTAGTTTCCATTGGAAAGCTCCATCAATTTGAAAATCTACTGAGTATTGTTCTTGTTCATGAAACATGTTTCTGCATTTGGATTCATATTCTGGAGGGTAGTTCTCTTTTTAAAAATGTATAATGAGTTTATTATAATTTTTCTAGACTCTCAATCAGAAATTCTCATACTGGTTCAGAGTCAACAAACACCACATCACCAGAGGAGCTTTCCCCTCAAAGAGACAGAATTCAATGCCATAGCAACGCTTCATAATGGTGCTTCTCCAGCACAGCACCAAAAAGGTACTTTTCACAACCAGAAACGTATTCTCAAACTTCTCACTTAGAAAAGTGGCTGTATAAATATACGCAAAAACAATGTTTATGTAATAAGGACGTATGAGGAAAATGAGCACTCAATTTTGTTTTCTTAGAAAAAGGTTCAGAGAGTTCCCACAGATTTCTTTTCATTACAGCTTCACTTAAAACTATCTCATTATTAGAAACCTTCCAGCTGCACTTGGCAGTAACCCCTTCTTTGATGTAATGACAGATGTTGTTTCCAGCACCTTTGCACAGGAAGTGTTTACTGCACATGGTAGATGTAAGCTATGCCCACTAACTCCAAAGTGCATTAACAGGTGATGGGGGGAGGGAAGCAGATACAGTGACAGAGAACATGGGTGGCAACAATGACAGCATAAAAATCAAATTACAATGCTTTTAACTCCCAGACTAAAACTGGACAGTAGTGCAGTTTTAGTAAATTCTTAAAATTAAGAATCTCATGTTCATTTTGTTGTTTTTTCTATGCCAAGAATTTCAGGGACACTATTCAGAAATCCTGCTTCCTGGGTCTTTGCCACTGCAGGTCCTTGAAAGCCAAATTCTGAAACAAGAGACAAAGATTCTCTGAATGGCTCCATCGAGTCGGGTCTGAAGGTTTTGGCAGTGCAAACGAGCATAGATCAGTAGCTCTGCATTTCCTCCTTCCTACAATGATTACAACACATGCAACTGAGGCTATGCCTCGATCTCTGGGCTAGCGATAAAAGGAGTGGTTCTCTAAATACAAGAAAACCACTCTTCAAGGGTAAACACAGTTTTCAAACACAGCTCTTACTCATACTCATTTACATTTGCTGTAATCCCAACACAGATCCAGGCTTCAGAAAGGAAGATACTTGCTGGAGGAGTCAGTAGAACAGTGTTCAACAGGGAAAGGTGTTTAATCCAAAGAAATGGTGCATTGGTATGCTGGGTGGGCCATGTGTGCAAATGGTGACTGACGTGCCAGTCCTACAAGGTCTTTCTAGGTGCTTAACAAGGTAAAAAACATGAAATTAAAGATAAAAACCATAAAAATGTAAAGAAAGGAAGAAGATAAGAAAGAACAAGGCAATGTAGAGAACTTCTCAAGTACTCACAAAACGGTTTCACCTCAAGTTTAGGTACTGATGATCAAAGGGCTTTGCTTTTGAGACAGGGGCCTTAACCTCAATCACTAAAAACCATCCTTCAAAGAGATATCTAGTATGTGATTTCATAAGACATATTATTTTGAAAGAAAAGAGCACTGTTCTGAGTGTGAAATCTGTGTGTAAAGGGGAGGAGGCCCATATACATTTTTACAATCTTCTGTTTGTCTTCATTCCCCTAACTGGCGTTCCCCAACCTAACAATGTTCACACAAACCATCTTCTAAAGCTTTCCTTTGTTCCCAGATTGTATAATTCTAAACTGTTCTAAATATTACCTCTCTTAACTACCTTGCTTTTAATTTTTTCCCATGTGTGTATGTACACACATGCATTTATATTATCCTTTCCTTCTTCAAGCTCTAGAATCTCTTCCGGAAATGAGAAGTATCTGATATAAAAGTCTACAGTTCTGATGCTCAAATAATAAATGGTGTTGGCTCCTGTTGATCACACAAACTGCATCTTGTAATCTCGATTCACAGAAAATCAATAACGTTTTGCACTTTACTTACAAAGCGAGGCTTTGAAGTTTTGTTTTCTTAATTTGCTTCGTCATCTTCCATAACCTATTCTAGACTTAGGCTCACATATCCTCAAATTTTAAGTGGGAAAGAGACTTCTGTAAGCTTCCAAACACCACCCTCTCCATCACAGAAAAACCATTTGGAAGCACCTCAGGTAGGATTCTATATTTTTAGAATGTACTCTGGGAACCAACAAGACAGCAGAACTTCCAGACAGACATCCACCATGTCCTCAAATCTCTTTTTCAAACTAAGTGTTTCACTGGGCAACCTTTAGAAGATCCATTAAAGCTTTGAAATCTTAAAATGAAATTAGGCATTTGGTGCCCACAAATCAGAAGAGGACTGCACAAGTGCTACTGGAGAAGTAACATCAGCTGCTGGTCACAAATAAATGTCGGTTCCGTCACCTGCTTCCTGGCTGGCTGGTGTGTGGGGATTATGACTCACCATTTTATGGATTTAATTATGCTGCTGAGCACTTCACATTCAGTAAAAGTACAATAGCTGCCTTCACGATTTCTCCCTCCCTGACAGAAATGTAACTATCTGATGCTAAAATCCCTCTACAGGAAAGGAGGAGAGAGACGAGAGTAGGATTTTCAGAGCAGGACAGATCCCAGGTCCTGCACAATGACCTACTCCTCATGAGGATTATATGAGGGCAGAAGGGACACAATCAGAATAAACTGGAAAGAGTAACACTATTCATTAGACATTACTAAATCCAACAAAGAACTTCCTTCTACCATGCTGCATTGTTCACACATTTTTTGCACATGATGAACTGCTACACTAAGGATTATAATATGAAATGCGATGGCCACGGCCCACATTTATGGAGCCGATAAAAATGTAGAACTAGAACATTGGCTATAATTGCCCGGAGATATAATCCACGTCGGCAAATAGTCTGTGGAATAAAAACACTTGCATTTTTCGTAATCACATGAGGTTCCTTAAGCTTGCAATTTGGCAGGAGAGTAAGCATTTCTATAACATGGCTGTCAGCAGCCACATAACAACACTCGACCACTTTCATATCACTAAGAAGATAAACTCAAACTTCAACTTTGTTAGCAGGGCAGGGTAGAGTCAAGCACAACACCAGCAGAGATGATGACACTGTTTTCTGCCCTATACTACTCCATGCACGGTCCCTTGCACACTCACAGATTTCAGGTTGACTGAAGGCTAAAGTAATTCACATATTAAATATATTTTAAAATACCCGAGTGATAAACACCTACACTAGCTTACTTCAACATTTCTAAAACACAGCATTCTTGAAAGTAGATGGCAAAATGTCTGTCTTTATCTTAGGGAATGAAATTCTGAATGCACAGCTCTGTAATAAGGACTTGGCTATGCAATGCTAGACACAGGTACAAACAGAGCTTTCTGTAGCTCATGTGGTCCTAGTGACTCACGGTTTTATAGACTCAACTACATTACGAAGGGCTAGAGGTCACAGCAGTAGCTCCCATAGCTTCTCAAGTGGCAAAGAAACAGCAAGGCAGATAGTAATAAGCAAAGGACAGCGTTCAGGTCCTTCTCAGTAGGAACTGGAAAGGCAAGGCGAGCACCACAGACCACCTTGCTGACTCCGTGAAGTCCATGTTGATCAGCTCTGTTGTCTCCAGCATTGGAACCAATGGCAATCAAGCATCAGGACTGCCACAGTTCCAAAGAATCGCCTTTTGCTGTACTATTGTCAAGCCTAAATGAAAACTATTCGTCTGGTCCCGTGAGGCTAATTAATGAGCTCTTGGGCTTTAGCTATGCTCTAGCTAGTATACACTTTATAACCTGGATTACTTATAATTTGAGGAAGTCAGGAACCAGCCACACAACCTCTCAACAAAACTAAAGCGGCCTCTATGGGCAACGTGCTATTCACACGCTGGGAGGTAGCAGTCCGGGGAAAGATGTGATATCATGCCCCTTGAGAACTTGTTCAAATTCGATATCCTCCAAACACCAGGATCTTTTTTAAGTGTGTACAGAAACAGTGGGAGGCCTGAGAGGATGGGGGTGGGAAGGCAGTGGGGGACTTGCAGTGCTGGAAGACCCTGGAGAGGCAAAGGCCCACCCAGCCAGATGAGTGATGTGGAAGATCTGGGCTGGATATACCACTTTTCCTGGGAATCAGCAGTAACTAATAGGTGCTGTCTGTTCATGGCCTTCCCCAGCTATTGAACTTGTGAAGCCACAGAGTTGTAGACTTTGTTCAGCACAGCCTTCCACAACATTCGGTGTGGAGTTTGCTGCATCCTCCTCCTCATTCTGCACCACTGTGTTCCTAGTGCTAGCCCCTGATGGGAGGTTACCCAGGCATATCCTCTCCTTCCAAACTTTTCAGGTGAAGAACTTGTCTCAACTTCTTTCATTTCTCCAGCACTCAGCTCAGTGCCCTGCACGCAGGAGATGCAAAGTAACTGCTGAATGAATACACTGATCGACTATTTTCATAATGATAAAACTGAAGACTTTTGCTTACAGATAGCAGCTTCATCAGGAGCATCTGTTTCCTTCACCATCCAAAGCCCCACTAAACTAGAAATACATGAATAAAAAACTCATCAAGGATAGAAGAATGGCCCAGAGGCATCCGGAAATAAGTTATTTGAATCAGTGTTTTGGAAG